AGTGCGCCCAATGTGAATGGGCACCAATTGTCAGAGTGTGCCCAATGTGAATGGGCACCAGATGTCAGAGTGCGCTCAATGTGAATGCACACAAAATGTCAGTGCACCCAATGTGAATGTTCACCAAATGTGAGTGGGTGCCAAATCACTTGTACCTGCACTAAGTATGCATCTGTGTCTGTTATTCTCCAGTTGTATTTCCACCCATTATCTTTTTGCATGAAATGTCAGGTGTGCCCAATGTGAATGTGTATGTGAATGGGCGCCAAGTCACTATGTTCCTATGGCATTTATTTTGCACAAAAAATATGTGCCCCCCCAATTGTAGTCAATGCCTGGCCCACTTTGGCAGGGATTTATGGCACTGATGCACTACACCCATTGGTCTCATTGGTGAGTCCTAACCTGTGCAATTATTTTGCGCTCTACAGGCACAATTATTTTGAGCTCCACAAGGGGCACAATTATTTGCACTCTATGGGGGGTGCAATTATTTTGTGCTGTAGAGGCGCAAATATTTCAAGCTCCACAACGGGCGCAATTCTTTTGTGCTCCAGGGAAGCACAATTATTTCGAGCTCTACAGAGGGCACAAGGCGCAATTCTTTTGCGCTCCAGGGCGCAATTACTTGTGCTCTATGGGGGAGCAATTATTTTGCACTCTATGTGGCGCAATTATTTTGTGCTCTAGCAATTCTTTTGTGCTCCAGGGAAGCACAATTATTTTGAGCTCTACAGAGGGCACGAGGCACAATTCTTTTGCGCTCCAGGGCGCAATTACTTGTGCTCTATGGGGGAGCAATTATTTTGCACTCTATGGGGCACAATTATTTTGTGCTCCAGGGAAGCACAATTATTTTGAGCTCTACAGAGGGCACGAGGCGCAATTCTTTTGCGCTCCAGGGCGCAATTACTTGTGCTCTATGGGGGAGCAATTATTTTGCACTCTATGGGGCGCAATTATTTTGTGCTCTAGAGGTGCAATTATTTCAAGCTCCATGAGAGGCGCAATTCTTTTGCGCTGCATGGGGGTGCAATTATTCTGAGCTCTACAGGGGGTGCAATTATCTCGAGCTCCACGAGGGGCGAAATTATTTGCATTCCATGGGGGGTGCAATTATTTCGAGCTCCATGAGGGATGTACACTCCACAGGGGGCACAATTCTTTCAAGTGCCACTGTATGTACCTTGTGCTGTTGACAGGGTCACAAATAGCCTGTGTCCAGCATTGTGTAGTGAATACAAATGTGAGTGGGCACCAACACACTGCCAGTGTCAGATTGTCATGCCCATTGGTGCTTCAGGTGGGCACCATAACTGTCAATACCGAGTGTGTATCTGCGCCCATTATATTCCAATGTGTATCTGTGCCCATTATTTTGTGCACCAATTTTGCCATGTGGATTTCCACCAAACATGAGTGGGCGCCAAGTGTGTATTGCGCCT